GAGTCAAAAGTTTGGAATATATTTTGGTCTGTAAAGTGATTCCATGATTTATTTTTCAACTAAAATTGCTTGTTTGTTCTATGCTTTCATTTCAAAATGCAATGACACAATAAACTGAATAATTTTCAGTAAAAAATTGGAAAAAGTGTGGTGTTCTAAAACTTTTGACCGGTAGTGTATATATATAAGATACTAAGAAATGAGGTTAGGGAAAGGAATCAAGGATGTACAATTAATGAAATGACATCAGGGTCCTGACCTGCTCTGGTACAATGCAAACGTAGTTGGATACCAGAGCTGAAAACATTAAGATGATACATCATTCACTGAACAATTTGTATAGTTTTAGTCTATTGTAAGACAACAAGTGTTTAATTTACTTTCTGGTAACTGATGTGGGCATCCTGAAAACAACATCTAGACAGTTGTTTCCTGAGTACTGGACTGTAGTCTGTGTATTTGACTATCTGTGCATGTTCTCAGACTATTCATGTAGTTTGAGAGGGACAGGTCTGCTCAGGTGCTAAAACTGGCCAGCAGACAATAGAGCGTTTGGGAAAAGTTCCCTGAAGGTCCTCTGAAGGTTTTACAAAATAACATGAGACAAAGAAAACACATGAGAAACGAGAATTCATAAAATGGAGAGATGCTCCAGCACCTAAATCTGTACAATAAGGTGCAGAGTTGTCATTGCTCATGGAAACTGTTCAATAAAGAGCTGGATCTAACATCCAGGGGTTGGTGTCATACTGCAGATGTGTACATTTTTAATTATTTGATTTTTTAAATAATATAATTGGCTTTATAATGAAATATGCTATCGAGTTGCATTATGGGAACTGTAGACAGTAGTGATTTTTAGAGTTTAATCACTGCTAGGGCATTAAAGTCAGCTGCTTGTGTTCACGTTCAGGTCATTCTTCGTGTCTCCAGGTGTGCGGGAGACCAGCGCGCGACCACCGGAGTGATCACATGCAAAACTGGAAAAATGTAAAACAGGTGTAAGACTTCGGCTCCGGTCGGGTCAGCTCGGTTCTGAACGAGCCATTAATACGGAAGTGTAGTTTAGTGTAGTAAATGAAAAATGCCGTCACCGAGCATGAGAGGCAGTCTCCAGCGGTAGAGCAGCCGGAGCAGGAGAAGCCGCAGCAGGTCAGCGGCTCACAGGAAAGCCCTCCAGCGGTCCCCGTGGAGACACGAGCCGCCAGTACCGGAGCAGCTCCTCCGGTTTGGCTGACACAGTAGAGCCGGGACGTTCAGAATACCGAGGGGTGGATGTGCAGGCACTACGGGACCGCTGCGGACCGACACAGAGATGTGCTGTGAATGGGACACCGAAGGAAATACGAGGGAGGCTCGGCTAGCTAACGGCAGCTAGCAGACCGTTAGCCGCTCGGCGCCGCAGCTCCATGAGCGTCGGTTCATTTAGAGATGCGAGCCGCATCGTTCACAGCGACGTGACAGAGGTGAGTCAGCCTGGTCCTACGTGTGTGTCTCCGGCCAGGACGTCTGGTGGAGAAAGAAAACCCTAACGGTCACTGTCGGCGTTAGCCCGCTAGCTAGCAGCACGTCAGCATAGCGGGTTAGCTGGCCGCTGAGACATCCTGCATGACCCTGATTCTCAGGAAGCCTCGAGGGGTTAACGGAACACTGGCCTTGATGCCTTTATTACCTAATGTGTTCAGACTGCTAGCCCATACTCTCAGCTAGCTTCATAGCTTCACATGTGAAGCGCAGCAGCTGTTTGATCTGAGCCAGATGAACAGCTGCAGCGCTGTGAGCTGGGTTCGGTGCTGGAGCTCAGAGGCGTCGCCTGCGAACCTCCCTCCCTGTAATCATGTGAGCCGTTAGGTGGAGGTACCGGGGATGGATGCCTGCCGCAGGCTTCCTGCCAGACACTTCCACGTTTTCTTTTTTCAGGGAGGAGGGGGTTGAAGAAGAACAGAAGTGTAGCTGGTACAGTTTGTGAGAGGAGCAACAGTTCCCTCCTCCTGCCCGTCCTCCTCCTCCTCCTCCTCCTCCTCCCAGATCAGCCACAGTCTCTGCAGAGCTCCAACCACCACCATACACAAAGGGAGGCATGTAGGCTGTCCGGACTCCAGGTATGGTCAGCTTTGGCTTGCTGCTGGTTGTGTAATCTGGTCTGATTGCTCACTTGAAGCGTGTGAAGATCTCTGGTGTGTCTTTGAGCCACTTTTCCTCTTATTCGAACTCTTCTACTTTATCAGCTGTTGCTCAACGGTACTGGTTCTGCATCTGGTTCTGTGTTTCTGTCTCTTCCAATAGTCCAGCAGCTAGTTCTGTTCTGATGACTGGTCAGTACTTGTTGGAACTGTTGGTGGTTTGTGGCTCATCAGTTAATAATCCTCATGATGGCATCATGTGTATTAATGTCCCTCTGACCAATAAAAGTGGAGAATTTAGTTTTAATAACTTCAGTCTGGAACACGAAGAAAGAATGAAAGCAATTTTATTAACTTTAATGAGAGGGAAAAAAAGAACAGACACGGACATGCTCTTAGTTGTGTGTCTGACTCTGACAGCAACACTTTTAATAACTGAGTCTTAAAGTGATTTATGAAGCAAAAGCATTCATTCCACCTCATGTCAGGGTTCAGTGTTCCTCGGTTCTGTGTCGCTGTGAACAGGAAACGTTTGGGTTTTGCTCTGTCGGTTGGACAATCACACAATCTGAAGAAGCAGCTCAGGATCTGGCAACTTGTGATCGACATTTCCTGATGTTTTACAACCTCGACGTTCGCTCCAGTCATTGGTTTGATGTGTTTTCCAAAGACACCATGGCCTAACAGAATTAAAACTGTGAACTGTGTAGAACCACATGGGACGGATAAGCGAGTGAGAGGTGATGGTAATGTGGAGATAAACGTGATTAGCTTGGACAGTTCACCCAGAGCCGCTGTGCTTGTGGTCAAACGTCCATCCTTACAAGATTATTGGAGACCTATTTTTATCAGCACTAATTGGTTTAGGTGTTTCTAAAGCTGACGGGCTTCTGTGGAAGAGCCGGTGTGACCTTCATCCTTAATTCGTTCACTTTTTTTTTTTTTTTTGTCCCTCCATCGGTTTTCAGCAACAAAGGAGACCTTCACTGTCACTCACACACACTGCTGAAAGCAGAACTAAACAGTCCTGTGTGGTTCTGGGCAGCTGGACTTTGACTGTGCTGTTAAATGTCAGGCGTTGACAGAATCTATATGTAGCGCTTTGTTAGTGGGTCCCTTCAGCTACATTACTAAAAACTTTTCTCCTTTCCTGAATGGGTGGCTCTGATGTGGAGTGACTGGTAATGAATGCGATAATGCAGGATGTGTGTACAGTCGTACTGTCTCTACAGTACCCGGGTCAGTCAGCATACACAGGAGCTACCTGAAGGCTGCACTGCAAAGTAAGAGCAGTGTGCTGAACCTACAGCCAGGGTTTTCAGTGTCATGGAGGTGTGCACAGCGTACCGAGTCGGGAGCAGGTTGTGTTCCAAGTTTCATTTTTTAATCCACTCTAAGAAGTGTCTCCCTCTCACGAGTTGTCTTCCTGATGATTCTCAGCTCAGAGAGTGCTTTATATCTGCACACCTGTGGAGCTGTGCGTTAGTAACTCCATTAAACTGAGCTGTGCAAACCGTATGCATTGTGTTGCCATGAGAACCTGCACATATGGAGTCGGAGAGGCTATTTTGTGAATATACTTTCAACCCTGGTACAATAAGTGTGACCAGAATGTTTTGGCAACGCACTAGTTGTTGTCCATTAGCCTCAACATGCTAGCAACATGCTAAACCAATGCTCGCTTTTGTTCACCAATGACAATTCCAATGGGGCTTGTACGGTGGCTCGGTGGTTAGCACCGTCGCCTCGCAGCTAGAAGGTCGCCAGTGAGGACACCCTGGATCTTTCTGCGTGGAGTCTCCATGTTCTCCCCGTGCAGCGTGGGTTCTCTCCGGGTTCTCCGGCTTCCTCCCACACAGTCCAAAAACATGTTGAGGTTAATTGGTGATTGTAAATTGTCCGTAGGTGTGAATGTGAGTGTGCTTGGTTGTCTGTCTCTAAGTATAGCCCTGTGATAGACTGGTTACCTGTCCAGGTGAACCTGCCTTCACCCTGAGTCAGCTGGGATAGGCTCTGCCCCCCTCCACCCTAGTGAGGATTAAGCGGAGTGTAGATGATGGATGGATGGATGGATGGATGCATGCACCAGTTGCTGTCCATTAGCCTGAACATGCTAGCAAAATGCTAAACCACGGCTCGCTTTTGTTTACCAATTTGTTTAAACCAATTTGGTTGAGACAAATGAGCTGCATTCGTTGTTCTGAACATTTGTCCTTCTGTTCTACTTTCAGGATGACGGCTGAAGGATAACATCAGAGGAGGTTTCACACCCTCGACCAGACGTGACCCCACCTTCCCCTTTTGTCTACTTTCTCCTGCGAGCTGTGGGTCGCTGCTCAGCCTCTGTGGACTTTAATGGGATGCATGCATTCCTTAGTAACACCATGTAAAGTCATTTTAATTTGGACGGTCCTTCCAACACCCTTCTGACGAAGAAACAGGATGAAATAATTGCAATGTGACTCCCTGCCCGTCTGAGATAGCCACCTCGATCTGTGGGATCCTTGCTTTGGTTCCATCATCGTTCCCTACCAACCCCATCCCTTTTCCAGTGTCATTGGGCCATGGTTCGCAAGAAAGGTTCTCTGATACTATGCGGTGCTTTTCTGTTTGTCGCCTGGAACGCTTTGCTTCTACTTTATCTTTGGGGTCGCCCTCCCATCGGCCACCTCGGAGAAGGCGGTGGAGCAGAACCAGGAGGGAAGGAGGAGTGGGGCGTGGGCAGAGGAAAAGTGGGCCGGGTCAACCTAGCCGGGGAGGTGATCCGGCTGGCAGAGGAGGTCGAGATTCAGCTGGAGACCCAAAAAAAGCTGCTGAAGCAGATTGAAAGTAACAGGGCGGTATGGGCTCGGCAGAAAGACATCGGGAAAAGGGAAACGGACGACATGAAAGAAGTCAAAGAAGAGGTTGTCCAGCAGCCGCCCAAAACTCCACCTCCTCTCAAAACCAGTGTGGACGTCAGCGACCAGACTGAAGTCAGACAAACACAGAAGCCCGTTCACACAGCAGCTGAAGGACCACCGGTAGAACATGTGGCCACTGAAAGAAAGGAAGAGATTATTGAGAACAGTGAAGTGACAACGTCTGCTTCCAGCCCAGAAGTCGTCATTCCCATCCTAGTCATCGCTTGTGACAGAGTGACGGTCAAACGGAGCCTCGACAGACTGATCCAGTACCGGCCTTCTCCAGAACTATATCCAATCATCGTCAGCCAAGACTGTGGCCACGCCGAGACGGCTCGTGTTATTGGCTCATACGGAGAACAAGTGACACACATACGCCAACCAGATCTGTCCGACATCAGGGTTCGGCCGGAGCACAGGAAGTTCCAAGGCTACTACAAAATCGCCCGGCATTACCGCTGGGCGCTCAACCAGGTGTTCAATACGTTCTTGCAGTCGACTGTGGTCATCGTAGAGGATGACCTGGAGGTGAGTACCGTCACACACCCGTGTTCCTGCAGTAGGCTCTATCATCACGTGATGGACGGCCTTTTTGTGGCGTTTTGCCGGTGATCAGTATTGGTCATCAAGGGGGGGGAATATAGGCCAGTTAAAGTTAAATAAAGGGTTTGCATGACCAACTCACAAACTGGACTTGGTGGAGGTCTGCCTGGACCAGCTGGGGTGAGGGTGAAGGGTAGGATGGCAGAAAGGAAATAGCTGGGCAATGAATTAGACAAGGATGAACAGTGAGGAGGTTGATGAGGCCAGTAGCTGCACATCAGAAACATTCAGCTATCGGGTTCCTCTGCTGCAAGGACACGACACAACCCACACTAGAGAGAAGACGCTATGTTAATGACCTGCAATGTTTGCATACGAACGCATGGAGAGTGAAGGAGAGGAGAGTTGCTCAGTCATGACTTGTCTCCCAGCAGCACATACAGCCATGAATGAACGTTTACCTGCACATGTACAGACCATGTGAGTTGTCAGTGACTCCTACAGCTCTTTATTTTTAATGCTGGAACCATTAAAACCCATTCATCCATCATGCATTTTGGTTCTTTCTTAGATTTAGTCTTCTGGAAATGTGGTAAAAATCTGCTCGGTCAGAAGTATACGTACAGCAGCTTGAGTTATTAGTGTTGGGATCTAGAAAGCTGTTAATGAAATGTTGTCAGTGGCCCTTTAACTTCTCCGGAGCAATTACCACCAACAACACACAACATATACATTTTTTATAAAAGCCCAGACAACATATGAACAGGTTGCATGCTTACAGGGTAACGTACTGTGTCTTTAGCCTTTACCTTCTTGTCATGATCCCAAATTATCCTACACCAGCCGACTGCTGTTTTATCTCTAAAGCAGCACTGTTGTCATTGCAGTGCTCCAGAGTGTCTCCAAAGTATGCAATATTTCAACTAGTAAAGGTCTGAGCAGGCTGACGGGTCCATGTCTGTAGTCTAGATTCAGATGCATTTTGTTATCATTGCATCAAGTACAACGAAAGGTAAGATGCAGCCTGTCAGTGCAAAAACATATAAAAACTTTGTAAACAACTATATACAACATAATATAAAAGAAAAATATTAAACTCTTTATAAAAAGTTGACATTAAATATTAAGCAGGAACACAGTGTATAATGCTCAGAGGTGGCGGCAGCTGCTTATTAACAATATATTACACTTATTATGATAAATGCTGCCATCTGGTGTATGAATAGTGTCGCTGTTTAGAGTATTTCTATCAGTTGGCTTCAGTGTTAAGCTGCAGCAATTAACTAACTGGATTAATAAAAGAATTAAAAGTGAATATTTTCTGTTTCCTTTATTCCGCTGCAACAGTAAACTGAGCTGGTCATCTGGAACAAACTGACCATGGCACTGTTTTCTGACATTTTATAGACCAAACACTGAATCAAGAAAGTAATCAAAAGTTTAATCAACGGTGAAACCAGAGGGCTAAAAACAACCAGGGGTCGCTCTTGTTCTCCTGCATTAATAATTAATAATAGACTTTTTGGTAAATAATGACATTTAAACCTGAGCTAGAATGTGTTTCTCATTCACCTATGCTCTCATACACTCATACACCTGCCATGCAAGGTGCTCACCTAGCGTCAAGAGCAACTTGGCAGATGGACACGTCCACATGGAGGGCCTGGTGATGCCATGGAGCTGGGATGCTTCGGTGTAACACCTCTAACAACAAACTGTTGTATTTCATTTGGTGTATTGAATAAAGCAGTCATTGTTGCAACATAAACTGTTTTCCCTTCGCTTTAGGTCTTTACCTACATCCTAACATGAGATTGAAATCTTCTGAGAGAAAGTGCAAAAATATTCCTTTATTTTAGTTCTACAGTGAGTCACTGATTTTTCCAGTAAAATGTTTCTATACCAGTTAAATTCAATTCAGTCGCACCTCAAGCTTTTGGTGAAAAAATGACAAACCATGTGGATGTCATTTATCTTTTTTCTTTTTCTCTGCAAAGCATTGTTAACGTAACAGTGATGTGATGAACCACCGTCTCCATAACAGCTTAAAGGAAGCAACATGAGAACATGTGTTGTGATGTAGTGGGATTAAACTTTAACAGCCTCTTGGTTGTGTGGAAAACAGCTGAATGAAGGCTCTTAGAATTCTATCGATCAGCTCAGAGTGACCGTAAACAGGTGAAGTTGCAGTTTGATTGCTGTTGACCTGAATTTCGACCTTTGATTTGTTGGGACAGGAACTCACTGCTGTGACTCTCTGTTCTCTCGTGTAGGTGGCTCCAGACTTTTTCGAGTATTTCCGAGCTCTGCACCCGATTCTGCGGTCCGACCCGACCCTGTGGTGCGTTTCCGCCTGGAACGACAATGGAAGAGACGCCTTGGTAGATCCATCCAAAGCCGAGCTCCTCTACAGAACGGACTTCTTCCCCGGTCTGGGCTGGATGCTGCTCAAAGAGATGTGGGACGAACTGGAACCCAAATGGCCGTCGGCCTTCTGGGACGATTGGATGCGTCAACCAGAGCAGCGCAAAGACCGCTCCTGCATCCGACCCGAAATCTCCAGGACTATCACCTTCGGCCGGAAAGGTGTCAGTTTAGGTCAATTTTTCGACCAGTACCTTCGCTACATTAAGCTAAACACTGAATTTGTGCCTTTTACCAAACAGGATTTATCTTATTTGCTAAAAGAGAAGTATGAAGAGAAGTATATCAAAGAGGTTTATAGTGTCCCGTTGGTGAAGATCGAGGAGCTGCAACAAGGTGGTACCTTAAAGGGACCTGGACCGTTCAGGGTGCAGTACTCCAGCAGGGACAGTTTTAAAGTATTTGCTCGAAATCTGGGGGTGATGGACGACTTAAAATCTGGAGTTCCTCGTACAGGTTACAGGGGCGTGGTCAGCTTCCTGTACCGGGGTCGAAGGGTGTTTCTGGCTCCACCAGAGGGCTGGACCCAGTATGACGTCAGCTGGAGCTGAAACGCTGATCCAGGCTGGACGGACAGTGTTGGAGAGGGGAGAGCGCCTTACTCAGAGGAACACCCTTTCAGACCAAAGATTACCGCAGACCATGGATCACGAAGGAGTTGAAACAGCACTCAGCAGTGGAGCTGGAGGCCTGCTCGGTGCTTATTCAGGATCAGCGAGGATCGGCCACAGAGATCTCACAGCATTCAGACTTTTGGCGAAGTGAATTCCACCTTTAAACACTGTTCTCAAACTGCTATTGGCGACGTGCCTTGCTTTCTGGGCCCATTTTGTTTGATGTATTTTTTATTCCTGTGGTTAAACTGGCCGAGTGTAGAGTTTGCATCACAACCAGCTGTAGGTGGAGTTCAGCAGCAAAATATCATCTGAATTATCAGCAGTGTCAGTGGTAATACCCTGGAGGGGAAACACACGCAGTTATTAACTAGAACTCGGATGAAAACAATGTCACATATAAAATGTTTGTTTTACATTTTGCAGTTTTTGAAAGAAGCTCTTGATCCGACTCTTCAGATACTGTTGGTGTCAGAAGACGATCAAACAGCCACTAGAGGCTCCGAGGCGGTAAACAGAAGCCATGTTCAGTTTAAGTTGTTGTTCTGGTTAGCACAGAGGATCGAGTGTCTTCAGCAACAATACAGTGAAAAGAAGCTGCAGAAAAAGCAGAAACACTGACCTCCCTCTTTACAGTAGATCTGGTCAGATGATATCTCACCGTCCTGATCACCTGGAAGTCTGACGCTTCAGTCTCTGAGCACCTCGGTATAAACAGATAACTCCATTGTTGTAGATTTTCAGAAAACCTTTTCTTTTGCTTGAGATAAAATCAATGAAACTGAAGCTGAGTGGATCTGACTTAGTAGAAATGACAGAAGTAGAGATAACTCTAGTTTGATTGATGTTGTCTCAGGTAGACGATGGAAACGTGGGTTTTCTGGAGGTTTGTGAAGATGCAGTTATCTGTTTCTGCAAATGAACTCTTTGTTTCTGACCAGACAAATATTGAAAATGCAAAGTCACAAGAAGTGACAGATGATACCAGGCGGCTGCAGAACAGCCGGATTCTGTCTGACCGAGACGTTTTTGATCTGTTAATAAAACAGTGACAGAGATGTCAGAGTTCTAGGAGGTAAACAAGAGGACCACATACAGTCAGATGTGTTCATAGCCTCCCGTTAAAGAAGGAAACAAACAGCTGAACTGAAATAAGTTGAAATTGACTGAAGTAATAATAAATAAAAATTTAATGAACATCATGACGTTGCTTTTGAATTGTGGTTCAACAGAAATATTAAAGGAAAAAAAAAAACAAGCATGATGGGACCCGTGAACAGTCAGTCAGACTTGTGCACCTGTTGACAGGTATTCTGACCCACTGCTCATCAGCAAAGGCCTCTCATTGGTCCAGGACAGTTTTTTTAGATTATTCTTTTCAACCACAATTCAAAAGCAACGTCTCATTTCACTAAATTATAATTTAACAATCTTTTATTTATGATTACTTTTTTCAGTTTCTACTTATTTGAGTGTGAGTTTTGCCTTTTCGGTGAGATGGTCGTGGATCAGGGCTGCGTTTACAGAACATCAGGAAAAACTGTCCTCTGACCTGGTCGTTGCTGAAAACAGAAGCAGTTCTCAGCTAGCTTACCTGGTAAAATAAAGATTAAGTAAATAAAAAATTGTGGGAAACTTTTTTTTTGTTGTTGCTAGAAATAAGAATCAAATGAAGGTAAAGTTTCCAAAAACCTCCTGAGAGTTGCACAACCATCAGATGCAGGTGCAGGAGGATGGAGGCTCGGGGTTTTCTTCATGGAGGTGATCGTACACGTTGAAGTCCACTCAGAGCCGTTCATGCTGCTGCACTCGGTTCATATGTGGCAGAAGGAGAGCTGAGAATGATAGTATGACTGGAAAGTTCAGTGTTTCACGTCTCCACACACCTTCATTGGGTCTGATGTTTCCAGAAGCTCCCTCAGTTCTGCTGTCAGACTGGTTCCAGACAAGCTGGCAGGCACATGTTTAAGTACACTGAGGCCTTGACGACTGATCTTCTGCTCAAGCAAGTCTTTGAAGGATTTTTTTATTTTACAGTGTGTCTGTGTTGGGGGGACGTAATGCCCACTCATAACTCTATTGTGATGGTCAGAGGGAAATGCTTTGCTGAAGGAAATGCTCTATTAATTGTGCTTTCAAAGGGTTACAGAACCTACTTCTCCACCACCCCTCTCTGGATGAGCGAAGAGAAGACGTGTGGGGAAGGAAGTTGCTAATATGAAGGATAATACTCTAACGGGCTTTTCTGAAATCATTTTAGAACCCTGAAGTCCTGATGCAGGAGAAGTTGTAATTACATGACATCCAAACGCGGGTTTAGTCGGCTTGGGTTTGTTGAAAAACCAACGATGGATAGTTGATGTTTGTGAGGAGCGGCCGGAGGAACGATTATCACTGTACTGTAATTAGCTTTGGGACGTTATCTACAAGATCAACTGGTTCCCATTTCTGTATGGTGATGTGTAAAACCACTGCCTGATGTGTTTATAACTTTATTACATTATAAATAAAATAAACTATTTTGATATTTGTCCACATGCTAAAGAAGTCTCTCTTCATTCATATCATCCAGTAGCTGATATCCATTTATTATATTTCATATAAGGTGTGACACGCACAAGAAGTGACATATGATATACATATGAGTGATATACATACAGAACACGTGTGAGTCCAGCTCCTGACAGTAGTTTGTATATTCCAGCTTGTTGCTTTTTTATTAAGGGCTCAAAACACTACAGCAAACTCTACACTGATACACCTGAGCATCTTCGCTTCTGCCTGACAAGTAGTCTGTGAGTAGGCACTATGACGGTCACACCTCAACAATCCAGTGTGCATAAAAACAAATCCACATGTGGCTTTAATTCATTTGAACGCACAGCGGCGAGGTGGCTTGGTGGTTAGCACCGTCGCCTCACAGCTAGGTCTCCGGTTGGCGTCCCAGTGAGGACACCCAGGATCTTTCTGTGTGGAGTCTCCATGTTCTCCCCGTGCAGCGTGGGTTCTCTCCGGGTTCTCCGGCTTCCTCCCACAGTCCACAAACATGCTGAGGTTAACTAGTGATTGTAAATTGTCCGTAGGTGTGAATGTGAGTGTGCTTGGTTGTCTGTCTCTAAGTGTAGCCCTGTGATAGACTGGTTACCTGTCCAGGTGAACCTGCCTTCACCCTGAGTCAGCTGGGATAGACTCCAGCCCCCCATGACCCTAGTGAGGATGAAGGTGTAGAGATGATGGATGGATGGATGATTTGAACGCAGCCCCTTAACCCCACTGCTAAACTATGTTGTAGAGTTTAAGTTTATATTAAACAGACGTGGTCACTACCATAGATATGTATAATAAAGGCCTTTATTATACATATCTATGATGTCGCCCACTCCTCCAGATGTGATGCTGGCTTTAGTCACTGCTGCTCAGCCTTTCAGCCTCAAAAGTTCAGTTTTCATTGACCTAAAACTGCGCTTGCTTGGACAACAAGCCAAAACACACGGACACATACACGGCTTGAGCCTCTGCTTTAGCTCTTCTCTGCTGAGAGCATCCCTCCCTGAACGGACACTTACTTCTGATTAACAGCTTTTTGTAGAAGCCTTCTATCGACACAACCACACATCACAGCCAACACAACACAATTACAAACACAGGCATAAAATAAACCCCCCAAAGAAAAAGAAATAAAAAGAGAAAAAATACAAAATACAGCGTTCATGCTTCTGTGTCGCAGTGACGTGTCAGCACGCGACAGCGAACAGCTGTAGGACCCCACAGGATTTGACCAGGCAGATGCCAGACTGGAAATAAGATTAGCGACAACTTTTCGCTCGAGATCGCGGCGTGTGTGCGGCTAGCGACGTTACTCACACATTAAACAGGTAAATTGCTAAATTCTATTTTAAAAAGATAATGTCTGATGACGTAGCTTTAGTGGTAGATTATGTCAGGTTACCGTTACAGATGAGCTCGTGTTATTCTCACGTGCTGAAGAGATGAGTTCGTGTCAGTGGTGAGTGTGTGTGTGTGTGTGTGTGTGTGTGTGTGTACATATGGGGGAGTGAGAGGGACGGGTTTTCTTGTTTTTAATGTTTTTAATTGGTTGTAAAGTACTTTGTGTTGCTGTCTTTGTATGAAAAGTGATATACAAATAAAGTTTGATTGATTGATTGATTGATTGATTGATAAGTCCATGTCGATGTTTTAATTTGGTTCGAACAAACACAGATCTCTGCTGTAAACCTGATGCATGTCTCTGAGTAGTAGACAGATGTTTGAGGACTAACACCAACACGTCTCTTCACACAGGAATGTCTTTTTTTAGTGGAGATCCCAACTTCTGCCCAGAATGTGGAAACGTTCTTCCTCTTCCAGGGATACAGAACACAGTCCGGTGCCCTCGCTGCTCCTTCTGCATCCCTGTAGCAGGTACTCACAGAACATCGTATCATATCATATATAATACGAGTGTGACTGTGAGGAATGAGGAGACAAACTTCATTACATGTGATTATAATCATGTCCACACATCAGCACAGAGCAGCCCACAGCACACTGAGGACGTAGTTTTGGTGAGGGAACATGTTGAATCTTCTCGTAAAACTTTGGCGTTTTATTATTGGCAACTGGGAGCAGAACCTCCATGTGGGGTTTCTGTCTTAAGCTAATGGTTTTGCCTGATCCAACTATGGACCATAAGAATAAAAAGAATAGAATAGAAATACTTTCTTAACCCCAGGGGGAAATTTGATCGTTACAGCACAAAGACAAAGTTACCACCACCACAAATACAGATAAACAAGCACAAATAAACAATAAGACATATAAAATGCAAAATGTACAATTAATGTAATATGTCGAGTAGAGAAGTCCTGTGTGGAGTGGGGTGCAGATCGTGACGTGCAACAAGACAAGAGTGCAACAGATGTTCAGAGGGACGATGTAGGTGGATGAAGGGATGAAAGTGAGGGTGGGGTCAAGAGAGCACAGACAGACGGGTTAAACTGCAAAGTAACTTCAGATTTGACCCTGGGGGCCAGACGTTGCTGTCGAACAGGCCGGGCGGGTTCTGGTACCGTGTAGTTGTGCTGCACACTTAACCTACTCTGGAGCAGGTTGTGTTTAAATAACAGACCAATGAGCATGAATATACTGCTGCTGACCAATCAAGTCTTCTGGAAAACTGCATCAGCGTTAGTGAAGGATCCTGTAGTGCATGGACAGTGGAAGGCGTCGGACTTTATCTAAACCCTCTCCATTCCCTGAGGAGCATAAATCCATAGATATAAATTATCAATGGAGGGAATTTCAGTCACGCTTTATTTTTTGTGTGTGTTGACAGTTTCTTTGCCATCTCTGCTTCCTGTTTTCACTGAAACAGCTGTGTTATGTTCAGCCTGTGTTGTATTTTTAAATCCTCATATTGATCTAAAGTTTGTTCTTCTGGTGGAGAAGATGCAGCTCTGGTCCTGCCCATGTTTGCAGATGGTCATCTGGTGCCAGTACTGCCCATAGATATGTACAATAAAGGCTAGATATCTGGTCCATGCTGACAGCCAATGGAATCGCATGGCCACACTTTTTGTTAATTCTGATGGATCAAGTCCTTATCGACTCGTATTTATCTTCTAGAGTTCTCAAGCCAGGAGATCCGTTCGACAGTCGTCTTCAACCCTGTGGAGCAGTCGTCGGTGGCTCTGGAGGATGAGGAGGACTCTGAGCTGAAGGGGCCTGTGGTAAGAGTCTGTCTGCTGCTGGCTGACTGCTGTGTCTGATGCTAACAGCTGTGTCTGATGCTAACAGCTGTACGCCGTGAATGAGGTCGTGTGTTCTCTCCAGATTGACAGACGCTGTTCTCGCTGCAACAAAGAGGGAATGATTTACCACACCAGGCAGATGAGATCAGCAGATGAAGGACAGACCGTCTTCTTCACCTGCATACACTGCAGGTAACCAATCAGAATTCTGTATGTTTGTGATGCATCGTGGGCCTTTGCTGATGGTTTTGATTTTGATGTTTCAGGTACCAAGAGAAGGAGGACTCCTGAGAAGAAACTCAACACACTTTCTCAATTCCTCTTTTTGTTTCTATGTATATGTTTGCCACAGTTACTTTCTCAAAACATCGACTGTAAATATGATTTCAAAGGAGGGCTGCAGGTGGCTCGGTGGTTAGCACCGTCGCCTCGCAGCTAGAAGGTCGCCGGTTGGCGTCCCGGTGAGAACACCCGGGATCTTTCTGCGTGGAGTCTCCATGTTCTCCCCGTGCAGCGTGCACATGCTGAGATTAATGGGTGATTCTAAATTGTCCGCAGGTGTGAATGTGAGTGTGCTTGGTTGTCTGTCTTTAAGTGTAGCCCTGTGATAGATAATGGATGGATGATTTCAAAGGAGCAACTAGCTGCAGGACCCTTCACCTTTTAATGTGAGGATGTACAAGGCAGCGCCTCCGAGTGACTATTCCTCAGTTGTCAACATTAATAAAGTCTGACAAAAGAATCTTAACTCAGTGTCCACTTCCTGGCTTTGACTTCCAGAGCATCTGCTTGTGTCTCACAGCCGTCATCAATACACAGAGTTCACTCAGCTTTCATAGAATTACTGTAATTCTGTTCTCATTTGTAAGCCATGGGAGCTTTATCTTCACTAACGTCTACACCAGGGATCAACTCCGGTCCTCGTGAACTACTGTCCTGCAGGTTTTAGACATTTCCGTACTGCAACACACCTGACTCACATTAATGGATCATTACCAGACTTGTGTAGAACTTGACAACAAGCTGCTGGAGATCCATTAAGGTGAGTCAGGTGTGCTGCAGTACGGAGACGTCTAAAACCTGCAGAACAGTAGCTCCCGAGCACCAGAGCTGGAGATCCCTGCGCTAGATGATGTGTGCCAAAGTAACATCTATTAATTGTGGATTTACAAAAGTGGTAACTCTACATGAACAGTCATCTGCAGCACACTAATGAAGGAGTGAAGTGTGTGCATCCTGTGGGTGAACTGATGCCACCCAGCTATGACTCCTGTCAACTGTAATTGTGATGGGCTGTTGTTTAAAAACAAACAAACAAAACATTCATGTTGAGCCACAACATTCTGTGTAGCCTGAACCTGGCTAGTTATCAGGTTTGGGTGTCATCGGATAATTCACCTGAATTTACTTTAATCTTTAAAAAATGAGTTGTTCTTTCATCAGACCTTAAGGCTAGCTCTTGTCTTCTGTTTTTAAAACATGTTGGATCCAGCATCATAGACAACAGAATGATGATCTGGCTGCTGTGTTTGCTTTGCTAAGTGGAGCTTTATGGATATAAGGCCCCTCTTGATAGTCTGATTTTTATTTACTTATTTATGTATTCATTGTGTTTTATTTCATTCATTTATTTTGAATGCTTGCTTATTACTGAATTTAACGTAATACTGCTGGACCTGATGGAGGGAAAAAGAGAAGTGTACAGCTCTTGTTTTTCAGCGTTAGCCACATATTCCGTTACACATTCATCAACCTAACAAAAGTTAAACATAGCGTTTCAAGCTAGTGTCATGTAGGAGCCTCGTTTATTTGATCAGTATCAGTATATCTGCACCCTCAATGTTCTTGTAAATAATTCTACAGTTTTATGGGTCTTATTTAAATTTAACTTTAATTCTTCACTCCACAATATGTTTTGCTTCTGCTCGGCACGATTACAGTTATTTTCATTTTTAGTTACTTTTATTTTTTATTTTTTAGCTATTTTTATATTTTTTATCTTGTACATTGTTCCTTACTCTGTATTTATCGTTGCACCGACCCACCAGAACTAATTCCACGTATTGTGTAAACTATAACTGGCAATAAGTCTGGTTCTGGTTCTGATTTTGCTGTTTTCCATTGTGTGTAAGCAAAAAAATAAAAAATAAATAAATAAAAACATTTTACGAGCAGCGAGGACCACGCAGTCAGCGGGATGTGTGAGCACCCGAGATTTAAATAAAGTTTGTTCAAAACAAAAAAAACGGAAGTTGAGGAGAAGGAGGAAGAAGGCGGGTGAGGAGCGAGACGAGGTCCGCCATCTTCGTGAGGTCAAACCAGCAGTTCAGGGTAATATTATAATTATTATTATTATCACGACTATTCAGAAATAATCTCGTACCTTTACTGAACCTACTGACGGGTGTCGACGGTTCTTCAGCGGCTCAATAAAATCCTCAAACACATAAAGTCCGGCAGCAGAACCAGCTGACGGTCACTAATAGAACATATGAAGCCAACAGGCGTCAGCTGACTGATGGGATTAGTGTCCGGTCCTCGGAGGCGGACCTGGGATCCATCTGAAGCCGGCTAGAGCAGCGTGTTTACGGCTTAAACATTCAAATATTACCGCCTAGCAATTCTCTTTCACATTAACCTCTGACAGCGTTGTTCTGTCTACAGCCTGACAACCTGCTGATCCAGACATGCAAACACTTGTTTATTTAAATTGCTTTAAGTTATTGCATCCTGGAGGAACGCTCTCTCATCTGGCCTGTACTGCTGTGTATGTGCAGCAACATGGCAATAAACTGGATTTAATATAAAAAAAACCTTTTAACATCAGACTTGTGACATCAAGGAGGCATGAGTAAAAGAAAATAAAAAGTGCTATTTTTCCGATTATTCAGTGTAGGGTTTATGTTTATTGTCATTATGGCTGAATTCTTACTTCTTGTTTTCTCTCTATGACATTACCTTTAGATGCCAAGACATTGCTCGGCAGGTGGCTGCAAATCTCGGGACAACCGTGAGACTAGAAGTGCTGGCATCACCTTCCACAAGTGAGTATCTTCATTTTGTATTGTTCTAACAGCAGTGGATTCAGGGAACATGCAGCATATTAAACGCTGGTCTTTGATGTTCTTAGTTGTTTTGATCATTTAGTTTATATATTTAACGTGAGTAAGGAAGTGACCGGCATTGTGTCAGTAATGGGACTAAATGTAATGCAATGGGACGGCCAGGTTACCTAAAGGAGCACCTCGGAGGAACCTGTGGATCACTAACTCCCACCGCGCAGACTCCTGGGATCCTCAGACGGACTTTGTCTACTTCTGTTCAAAGCACTTCACACCAGAGAGCTTTGAACTGACCGGATGCAGGTCTGTACGCTCCGACTGGATGTAAAGAGATGAAAGAAAATATCAGTAGTTTAACTCTAGAACCAAAGTTATTGATTATGAGTCTAGAGCTGACAGTGCTGAGGTAGCATCCTGAAGTGTTTTGGACTTTTTCCCTTGCAGTGGGATCAGAAGATTGAAGGAAGATGCCTTTCCGACAGTGTTTGATTTCCCGCCAGCAGCCAAATGCAAAAGAACGAGAACTCTACAGAAACAAGACGTTCCTGTCAGGTGAGCAGAACTGACACAGAATCCGACTTGTTGTTGCCTGTGAGCAGATTCTGGGCTTGTTAAATGATACCGAGACACAACTGACATTATTTTATTATCTATAGACAGCAAAACAGATCCATCATAGACGAGACCTCATTGACGTTGTAGATATTGTTCAGTTCCCAAACCAAATTAAATTAAATTACATTACATTACATTACTGCAGTCCATCCATCCATCCATCCATTATCTGTACACCTTAATCCTCATTAGGGTCGCTGGCCTTCAGGGAGTACAACTGCAAGAGACAAGGACCAATATTACTATCAGCCCAGAAGAAAAAACACAGCTGTAGGGTTAATGGGCAAAGGTAGCTCTGTCCTTGGCACTCATCTGTGTCCTTTCCATGTCAAAGAAAAGAATGGAAAATTTAAATCGTCACTTTTATCGTTTTTTGTAGGAAGAGTTCCTGGTCTGGTGAACAGGAGAGTGATAAGCAGGAGACCAACCATGTTCAGACTGCAGAAGAACCTGCAGCTCAGATGTCGGTGGAAACAGAGGAAGAGACTCATGAGAACATATTCACATCTTCTCAGGAGTCATCAGGGACGGAGCAGCCCTCACAGCCAGGACACAAGTCACCAGAAGTCCGTCCTCTTTCCCCATCACGTTACATGAGGCGTCTGCCCCCTCCTCCTGGATTCTACCTGTCCAAGGAGCACAGCTACGCTCAGCTCTGCCCCCTGTTGTGGAGGCGACGCTACGACCAAGCCGTGGACTGCCTGGAAAAGGCCTTACGACAACTACACGCTGCAAGGCGGAGGGAGAACCGCTTACGGGGCGCCGTGCTGAGGCTCCGCGACAAACGGCTGAAGCACACCCTTCTGGTGTCACGAGGCGGCTGGAAGGACAGGGACAACTGGACATCAGGCGACGAGAACACACAATGCAAAGGACGCTGTGACCAGGAGGAGGGTGAGACCGACGCTACATCTGAGACTACAGCATTGTTTGTCGACAAGTGTGTGGATCAGACGGAGTCGGGCTGTCAGCTTCTTCCAGATACCAGCAGCTGGTCTAAGGGGGACACAGCGTACTGCTTCTACTGTGGACGAGGCCAGATACAGATCGCCAGCCAGGTAGCATGTAGAGTTTCACATCCGTTGAAAGATGTGCAGTCCACAGAGCATGATGACTCCATGAAGGTCCAGAGGAGTGTTAAGACCAGCACCTGTAGCACAGCTGAAAACACCAAAGACATGCAGACCATCAGGAACAGCGTAGAAACCAGTGAAGTCATGTTCCAGGATCCAGCTCCTCAGCAGGATCCTGCTCAGGAGCAGAGTTTACATGTTCTGGACTCTCAGAAGGACCAGGTGCTCTCTGACTTGTGTAAAGACGAGTCTGACGGGACGGGTCTGGAGCATCAGCTGGACCTGCAGCAGCAGGTGTTCTGGATACAGGACGGTGCTGAAGGACAGGTCATCCTGGTGCCCGTCCCTACAGAGGATGGATCACAGAGCTTGTTAAAGATGGCGGGGGTTGCTGATAAAGCGCTGCTGGTGTCAGAACTGGGTCAGTCCAGAGTGGAAATAACGTCTGACGATGAACACAGTGACCAGTATTCTGTTATCAGCGGTACGTCAGTGGAAATGAAAGAAGATGTCAGGAAGAAACTGAAGGAGCACCTGGAGGGGTTTCACCTCCAGCTGAGCACAGAGTTCAGAAACTGATGAGGATGTTCTGAACAAACACAACAGAGATAAGAGCTGAATAATGACTGAGTGGTGTAGTGGAGACCGAACACAGCTCCACGTTAGTCCAAAGACACACATCTGAAACTGCTTCAGGTAAACTCTCACAGTTCAGTTTACTTTTACTGAATCCCACCCGCGCTGTCCTGCTGCCCCAGAAGACCCAGTAGATCACCACATGTGGTTTGTCTGCTGCTGAAAATAGTTCCCAATGAATGCACTGTTTGTTCATTTACAAACTAGCGACCTGCTGTTTGAATGAACTACTAAACCGTTTTTTAAAATGTGTTTGTGATGCGTTGGAAAAGATTTAAGTTGGGGCCAGAGCAGGCAAGAAAGTCAGAAAGTACTGAACAACAGGTAAACACATTGTTGAGTCTTTTCATGGAGCTGACATTTCAAAAATAGAATAAACCTTCAATTTTTTAAATAATATCACAGATACAGTTAATTAAACAGCAACACAGGTTATTAAAGTCCCGTCTGCATGCTGTCTATTATTTGCAGTGTTTATGAAGTAAACAGATCTGATTCTGTAACGACAGACGAGGACAGTTTTTTGTTTGATGTCCAGTAAACACTGAATAAAGAGTTGATTATATACGTTGTACACGTGCAGTGTATTAAAGTGGTTAAATTGCTAATTGGCCATATTTCCATGACGTCTAATGGCTGAACCGTACAACAACATCCCATCTTCTATGTTTTTTTTTTTGTTTTTTTTTACTTTTTAATTTTAATTTGGTTTTTAAACATTTTTGACAGGAGTAGAACTAAGGACGGGGACAGTGGAGGGGTTTAACAGCATCATCTGCAGCAGCCATCGTTATTTAAACGGCAGCTTTACATAAAGTCAGATCTTCTAGCCTCAACATATTCTGTCCATTTTGACAAAGTTCTATAAAATGAGTCCATTTGCAGTTTTGGTCAAAGAGACACTTTTTCCATTTTGTAGGTTTCTTGTATGATGTTGATCCAGTCCTCGTTTCCTGGTTGCTCAGGCCTGAGCCATCGTCTGGTGACGGCCATTTTACTTACTGCCAAAAGAATGTAAAGTAGTTTCTTATCTCCATTGCTGAGGCCGTCCAGTACTATGGTACAAAGATGCACAGTTTCAAATGAAAGGGGGGAAAACAATTGAGAACACATTTTGTACATGCTGATGGATCCCGACCCAATACTCCTGGGGTTGGAAATGGTTAGCTCCTTCAGCGCCACACCTCCAACAGGCATCTCCAGTTCCCCGGCATCTTCCATCTTATATGTTAAACCAGCATGACATTCGACTGTGTTGTTCAGATGAGGTTTAGCTGTCATCATTTCATGTATCATTTGACGTTCCCAAAATATTTTACTTTACATGATGTTTAAAAAAAGAAAAGAAAAAGAAGACAGGTCTTGTGTCCCTGTTAGTCAAAGGTTGTATCGACACTCACATCACCAGGGAGACACATTGGCAGTACAGACTATGTGGGTATTAGCCACAACCTGAGGTTCATCTAATTTCGGCCTCCTCTGGTCTTTCCTCGGCTTCTCGGCTCTTAACCTATGCTGGATTTTATAGAGCCAATGAAGAGAAGCTGATGTGGGAGAAATATGATCTCTGTTACTGGTTCCTGTCAGAACCCTGGCTGCAGCGTTTTGGACCAGCTGGAGGTTTACTGGAACATCCTGATAATGATCCATACAAGAGCTTTAAGTCCACAGCTAATTTCTTTTGTTCTAGCTACAAAGAGGTTCATTAAATTTACCAAATTGTGTGTGAGCTGTTCGACTGGTGACAAACCGCTGAGTGAATCCACACCCTAGTGGGGCGTGACTTTAAACAACAACGATCAGGTCACATGACTGGAGCAGAGACACTCCTTTGAGCAGCGACTGGATGGACTGGATGTGTATGAATGTGACATCCTGTCCCGCTCACACTGCCTTCACCAAGCCCTTCAGGAAGACTGAGACTACTTTCCACCACTGATAAGCTTCATGCACTGCAGATGCATGAACCAGTGCTGATCTACTCTCAGTCTGCTCATTATCAGTTACAAGACAGTCATACTGGGTTGTGTTATGATGTCTGTTCTGTTGGAACAATAAATACTTATTAGCCCACATTAAAAGGAATAGATGTAATTTAATAACATGTTGCATGCTGTGCAATCCTGTTGGCAGCACATTTCACACAACTTTCTCCTCTTACCAGTTTAGACTTCTACCTCATTTTGGGAAACAACCTCCAGGCAGCAACTACGTGCTGTAAGATTTGCCAAGGATTTGGATTGTGCAGTGAGGCAGTCCTGCATGTTTGTTTCAGTGAATTATCCATTTTAATGCCAGCGCTCTTCTTCCTGCATGCAAATCCATCCATCCATCCATCCATCCATCATCTCTACACCTTAATCCTCACCAGGGTGGTGGGGGGCTGGAGTCTATCCCAGCTGACTCGGGGTGAAGGCACGTTCACCTGGACAGGTAACCAGTCTATCACAGGGCTACGCTTAGAGACAGACAACCAAGCACACTCACATTCACACCTACGAACAATTTAGAATCACCAATTAACCTCAGCATGTTTGTGGACTGTAGGAGGAAGCCGGAGAACCCGGAGAGAACCCACGCTGCACGGGGAGAACATGGAGACTCCACACAGAAAGATCCCGGGTGTCCTCACTTCCTTTTCTTAGCCCATCCCAAGACGATTTCTTTATTGGTTTAAAGAATTACGAACATCCATCCATCCATCATCTACACACCACCCTGTAGGGTCACAGGGGGGCTGGAGTCTATCCCACCTTGGATCATCAGTCAGAAACACAGAACATGCCGGAGCTTTTTCTCCCCTATTGCAGAATGATAATGAGCTACAGCTGGAACATTAGAGCATGGTCTGCCTATGTGGAGCCATTTATCAGCTCCACTCCTGGTTAGGTTGAAGTCTGTGCTGCCTTGGCCCTGTGTAAAGACGCACTTTTAATCACATGCCATGTTTGTGGATGTTTCATACATAAACTCCTCCTTTAGCAAATTTTCAGGCCAAACAGCATTTATTTAGGAAACAATTATCTTCTACGCAGTAACTGCAGAGCATGAGGGAGCAGCTCGGCGCCCAACACTGAGGAAGGTCTGTGGTGTCATGCTGAAACAATTCACTGTGGCTTCTTTGACTGGGTGTGGCATTAACTCTTCCCACTCAGATGAACGAGACAGACGTGGGATGGGTCTCACAGTCACTTTAGGTTGCGCAACACGCTTCTCTACAGGTACACATCCCAGCTTGCGAAACCCTTTCCTGGTCCGCTGTCTGCTGGAGTTCTGCTCACTCATGGCGATTTTTCCACCTTCACACTGATTCTTGTGAATTAAAGTGTAGCTTCAGCGACTTGCCCAACCCAGAGACTGTCTGAAAGCCGGAGATCCAATGTGATCTGTTTCCTCCTCTATCCCTGTCTGTCCCTCCTTTTTAAAAAAAAAAAAAAAAAATAAGAATATGACTTTGGCACATCTTTACAGTGTAAAAGTCTGGTTAAAGTGGACAGATTTACATTCAGGCTGCAATATGAGAAGAGCCAGATGAACAGCTGGTAGTGAAAAGGTTAACTCAGTGAAGAAAAGCACATCACCAGCCTAAACTTGCAGGCAGTTATTGCGTAAAACAACACTGTCCAACTCTAGTAAAGGTTTCCAGATGTGGAATGAACTGTGTGTTTGAATGTAAGCGAAGCCTTACCAGAACATCTAAGTGGACCAGTTCATACTAATCAGCGCTATATGATGCACATTACTTGTAAAACCCGTGGCCGTGTGTCAGGTAGAGCCTAATGTGGGACAGTTCTGGCCCTGCTGCTCGCGGATCCTTCTTCCTGGCTTTTCTTCGTGCTGAGGGAGGATCCAGGAATGCTGCCAGCTGGTGACACAAGTAATGCTCCACTGACACACAACAGCAGCGAGACACAAAAGGAAGACGCGTTAACCTGCTACAGTCGACATGCCTCAGGTAAGAAACCACCAAACTTTTCTTTTATTGCAGGAAAAGGCAAAGCCGAGGTTGGAGGTGAGACGTTTGAGATGCGGACGTCCGAAGCTTCGCTGCTTTCAGACGTTTGCTGTCGAGATTTATTCACCGCGAAACAGGAAATCTACACATGAAATAAAAGCTCCTGTAAGCTTCACCAACCCGCAGTTAGCGACGTGCCACGCTGATAAACTGTGGCCCTGCTCGGCCGAGTGGAGCTGCGTGTTTTACGCACAGAGAAAGTTTCCAGGCGTGAGCCGCCAGCGGCCCCTCCCTGCCGGGACGCGCCTCAGTCCGAGCAGTCCTGAGCAGCACTGGATCCGTTTGTGTGCGTTTTGTTGCACCTGGACACCTTAAGGAAAGCATTCGAGCAGCTTTGACACGAAACACTCTGTATGTGTGTGTGTGGAACACGGTTATGCAACAGCAGACCACTTCCTCTTTATTTTACGACCCTTCTCATTGTGATGGAGGTTCTTCCTTTGTTAATAATGACACACCATCAAACTATCACGTTGACAGTCTCCAGTGGACCTGTGGGGCACCAGGGTGGGGTTTCAGCCTCCACCTCTGTTCCCTTTTAAGAAAGATTTGCAGATATTACAATAACTGAACAGGCCACGTCCCTGAACTTTCTATCAGGGTTTGGTTCAGTTTGAGGCTCAGGCCGTCTCCAACTTGGAGACCAGCAGCAAGGAATCATCTGAGTTATTTAAGGACAGTCCCTAAATGCACTAATATACTTTTCATAAAGGTCAAAAAGGTCTAAACTGGTAATATAGCTGCACACAGAGACATAAAAGCCATCCAGTTAAAACCTCTCTGTTTTTTTTTTATTTTTTTAGATTATTATTATTTTGCATGTCATGTCTAAAGTGATCTTCTGTGAAACTGTAGTGACAAAGACTAGGTGTTGTCATGTTCTACACACTCTGCCCTGTCTGAAGTCAGGATTTGGACTCTGTGGAAGAGATTAGAGAGGGCCTGCAGTGGCTTGTGGTACCTCCGTCACAAAGGGTGTGGTTTTGACGAAGCCGTTGGCTGGCACACATCAAATTATTGTTGCAGGATCGGAGCAAGTTCGTCTGATAGCCGAGGAACCAGCTTCACACTGTCATCAGCGTTTCCTAACATGTTGGCTTATGAGGGGCTGATGTGTCATGTTTCCAGGCTGGTGGTATAGTTCTCCTGGTTTATGCCAACCCTTACAGTGGTGGTGGATGCTCTTGGATGGTATGTCACTGTAAAAAATGTAAAAAAAATAAAATAAAAAAAAAAAAAACTAATATTGCACTAATATTTCTAATGCAGTGTCTTACCATCTTTTGTCACTGGATTATGTCGTTTCCGGCCAGAGAAAATCTATTCCATCACTATAAATTAAATTTTTAAACTTGTAGTATAGTTGTAAAGATATCTACAGGATGTGAATATATGTTTATACACCGTGATGTAAAACCAAACCAGGCATGCATGTTATTTCCTATTTGTCAAGAAGACTATTATTATTATTCATGTGATGGGCCTTTTTGTCATGGTTCACCCTCTGTGATTCTGATGTTGTTTTTCACAGCCACAGCTACTAAACAAGGGGCGAC